GGCTATTTTTCACTTGTTTGTGTATTTTGAGCTGCAGTATAATCACTATTTATTTAAGTCTATGTTTCTCTAATCAAGTGAAGATTATACAATTTCACTAATTTCTAAGCCTCACCAAAATTGGGATTTGGATGAAGGTGAACAAACTATGGCTCAATCCTGGAAAAACCACATGATGTTTGCTAATAACGCAGTCTTCTAAAAAACAAAAAAAAAAGACTGGCATGTTACTGCAACTTTTTTGCTGAAGAGGTTCATGTTGTGTGAATCCTATTAATAGAGTGCTATTCTGGATTATCCAGTAGTAAACACTTAAAACATATACTAACTGGTACCTTTGGACAGCCAAGAGGAAGCTGCTAAGATTCTTGATACCAATTTCACAATAGTTATTAGAATCACAGAATCATTTAGGTTGGAAAAGACTCTTAAGATTCTCCAACCATTAACCTAACACTGCCAGGTCCACCACTGAACCATATCCCTAACTGTCATGTCTGTACATCTTTTAAATACCTACCACTGCCCTGGGCAGGCTATTCTACTGTTTGACAAACCTTTTGGTGAAGAAAGTTTTCCTAATATTCAATCTAAACCTCCCCTGGCACAACTTGAGGCCATTTCCCCTTGTCCTGTCCCCTTCCTAGCTGTGAGGGAGAAGAGACCAACCCACACCTCACTACACCCTCCTTTCAGGTACTTGTCTCCCCTCAGCTTCCTTTTCTCCAGGCTGAACAGCCCCAACTCCCTCAGCTGCTCCTCATAATTCTTGTGCTCTAGACCCTTCACCAGCTTCATTGCCCTTCTCTGGACACACTCCAGCACCTCAATGTCCTTCTTGTAGTGAGGGGCCCAAAACTGAACACAGTATTTGAGGTGCGGCCTCAGCAGTGTCAAGTACAGGGGGACGGTCACTTCCCTGCTCCTGCTGGCCACACTGTTCCTGATACAAGCCAGGATGCCATGGGCCCTCTTACCCAGTCAAGAGTAGGCCCATCCAAGACATGAGCAGCTAGTTTGTCCAGAAGAGTGCTGTGAGAAACATTATCAAAGGGTTTATTAAAGTTCAGCTAAACAATATCCAGAGCCTTCATCCATCAAGCACACTTATTAATCTGTTCTGGCCTAAGCTGCTGCCGTATAGAGTGTTTACTGCTTCTGTTGAACATCGTGTATGAACTACTCATTCACAAAAAGGTGTTCAGATTTTCTGTGCCAAATTTGGTGTATGCAAGTTTATCTCTAGTGAATTACATAGAGTTTTGTCTATAATCAGAAGAAAACTGGCCCTCTGCTGAGGTTCAGTACCAAGACTTCTGAACCATTACTGAAAAAAAGGTTAATCAACAGTATAGACAAAACAAAACAATCTCAGGACAGGAACTGAAATGTCAATAGCATCATTCTAGTTAGTCTGTCATGCTTATCATAGAGTCCATCCCTAGAAATTCTCACAATACTGCAAAAACTACTTTAGTACCATTTCAATTACACTTGATAGCACTGCTCTTGAATTCTTAACTCTGTGTAGCAACTTAGCTTATTTTATATTGGCCTGATACAGAACAAAAACATCTGTGAGATGGCTGCAACTAATAGCTGATCCTTAACCACAGTTCCACAATGTTTCTAGCATCTCCCCAGTGACCAAATCCTACAACTGATCTTGCAGTAATTTTTGCTTTAAGATACAGCATATACAGCACATACATTATCAGTGGAATATTCTGCTTCGGAGATGCAAAGGACATTTTCTGGCAGTTGCTCTAATTTTGAAACATTCTTGCAGTGTTGGTATCATTTAACCACTAGAAAAGTCCTTTTATTGGCACATATTTGGATGTATCTTTCAATTGCAAACAGCAGTTTTCACAGAAGTGCCCAGCCCATAGAAACTCCAGGCTAGACACCCACAGTGCAGCATTACCAGCACTAACTGGGAAGCCTGATTAAAGCACAGGTGCTGAACTGGACAACTTCTAGCTACAACAAACAGTATTGATGTACCCTACTTACAACAGCTGAAACAAATCGCAGTAATTTAAAACAGTTCAAATGTCTATTTTAAGCAAAATCACTGAAGCTTTTTATAATGATGATGTTATTCCATATGTACTCACAGTTAAATAATTACGAGCATTACTTGAGGGAGATTTGCTGCCAACAGCCTTTGTCCTCTATAGCCTAAATTTCCTTATGCAAGCAGGGTCTTGAGAGACTACTTTTCACCCAGCTATTTATCCAGACTCTTGGAATATGACCTAATTGGTGGCCAGAGATTCAAACTGGGATGCAAGAACTGTATTTCTGTTTAGCTTTGTTCATTTTGTATGTTACTTTCTTCAGATTAAATTGTTAATTTAAATTTATTTTATTCAATATTCACTGAAAATTGCTAGTAACTAAGACAAAGATACAATTTCTTGGGTGTATTCTATATAAGCTGAGCATTTAACTCCTTTTACATCTAAGAGGCCCACTTTTTTTCTAATGTGAAAAATGAATGTGGACTAAACTACTGTATTTTCTACTATTTTATTAGAACTCGCTTTTCTGTTGTATTCAACACATGATGAGCTGCAGTAAGGTGACCAACTACTGCTTAATAATTCCAATGTCAGGATGCTCCTTGTCCTTACATTTCATTTATATTTCCCAAGACAAGAAATATTGTAGTACTTATAGAACCAAATAGACTCTAGATAATTCAAAGGAATCCATGTTGATCAAGTTCTAGCATATGCATGTACACATAGGAATACAAGGTCTAAAAAAGCACTGGAGACAGACAGATTAATTCAACTACAATATGCAGTTAAAAGTTTCCAATTACTGCAGTGTTACTCACTAGCCGTGTAAACATCAACTCACAGAAGAGCTCAGTTTCAAAATAAGTTACAAGAGGAGTAAGGCAAACAAGGATAATCACATCTTCCACCTGTTCTTTTTTCTTCTTTCTGATATGCATGTAAAAACTACTCATAAGGTGATGTTAGGCTTTAGAAAAAAATGACAAAGCCAACAAATCCATCAAAACATGATTTAATGATTTCTAACAATAAGATGTACATATCTGCAAGTAACACAAGAGGATGGGTCTTTTTAATTAGAAGTTAAGCATCAACTTCTGGAATACAGTTGAACTACAACTTGCATGGAAAGAATAGCTTTATTACCCTTTACAACATTATTCAAAACCCGTAACATTCATGTAATGAGTTAGTTTTAGTGGGTTGTAATTAATCCTACTTAAAATTAGAAAATATACTGCAATAACCTAAAATAAGTTAATACAGTACTGTACTTTTTCATGAGGTTTAATAGGTGTCTAGAGAACTTCTCCTAAACCTGAAAAAGTTGAAATCAACATCAAATCTCAGTGAACACTTCAATTGCAATATAAATTTTTGCTCATTAATAGAACATCAATAATAAGACATTTTATGGCATATGGAAACGTTTTCAAAAACTTAACTAAGTCTGCACATGAAAAATTAAAAATTATATTCTAATTTTATATAATTCTGTTTCAGGCCCTACAGTAATCTGAACAAAAAAAGATATTTATGCAACTAGAATATGCACCTACATGAACAATACTGTAGGAAAATAATATTCAGTCTGACATTTAACCTAATACTTCAAAGACCTGAGCATAAAATAAGCAATTGGATACATTGTATGTATCAAATTTTTTAAAAATTTATTCAATGGTTACTACGATGGGATCTCCAAAAATCCAACCCCAGCAACTACGATATAAGCACCTCCAACTTGATAAGAACATATAATGACATTATAAATAACCATTTAACTTGCAATTCATTTACACTAAGAGAGCAGAATAGTTGTATTTCAGATTAGTATCACTTTAACTCAACTGAAAGCATGAACTATTACAGCCAGCCAGAGTAACATACACGTTAAGCAAGATAATCACGTTTGCAAGAATACAGTATTATTTTTTTTCTAATTTTTAAACCTGAAATTATACTATTACTTTTTAAATTCAGGAAAAAAGTTTACAAAGGAACTGATTTTTTTTACCCATGTTTTGATTATTATTGCTACATCTATATAGTAAAGGTTGAGAAAAAATTGCCCTAGAAAGTTGTTAAGTAGATGCAGATTTTTTCCCCAATAGCCTGTTAAACTTCAGCTGTCTCAACTTGTAGTTACCATTACAAATGTTCAATTTATAAATATAAATACCAAATATTCCTTAAGTAATTACTATAGCTTCACAGATACAGGAAAGTACATGCAATAGGAGCCGTCTGGTACATATGATGGGAATTTTTTTTCCTGAAGATTCAAAAGCAGTACGAAAACCAATGAAAAGCATGCGTCTGCTGTGATGCATTCCACCCAGAAGTCTTACAAAAATTGTACTATTGAATAATGTAAACATAAGTGTCAGGTTGCAGCTAGAGTAACAGACCACACATTATGGAAGAACTTACAAGAAAAGATTGCCAAATTTCTGATCTGCTACTGATTAGCAGAAGAATGTTATACATTTGTTCCTAGTTGTAATCTAACCGTCATACATATTCAAAAGCTAGAGTGTATGTGTGTAGTAACAATAACTTTGCATGATGCTTCTTTACAGAGTTTCTTTATTAATATGGGTCCTAATGAAGATAATTTCAGGAAGCCAGCAAATTCTGTGTATTTCACTACACAGAAAATATATCCAGATTTCAGAAAGAAAAAACTTGCAATAAAGTAAATTTCACAGTGGTCCTTGGCCACAATATAATAGTAATAAACAAGGTACTCATAATTTCATATTGCTTAGCAATTTGAATGCTGTACTTCCTTCACATACTTCTGTTTTACTCATGTTTCCTTTTATAAAAATGTATGAAGGAATGTTGCTTTGTAGTTCACATTTATATGGCTTTCCTAGAAGAGCACAGAATACCATACCGAATGCCTATTGTGCAGACATAACCCTGAAGGCTGTATCATAGCAGTATGCAGTAGAAAAGCCTTACCAATTTTTCATCAACTGTGATGAGTTGCGTGTCTTGAGTTTGGTCCTGTGCCAGCCGCCATGTGGAAGTGCTCAGTGACCTGCGGTGCAAGACTTGAAGTTAAAAAATGATTCATGCTATGAGAAAATAGAGGCAGACAAATCTTACATAAACAAGTTACTTTAACAATATCCGTCTTGTAAAAAAAATTGAAGAGGGAGAGATGAGGGCACAAAAATCCTTTTTCTCCCCAATTAGTTCTGTCTGCTGAGTTTTTGGCAGGCTCCCACTTAGCAGTTCACAACAGGCTGCACTTTATGTCAGCCTACAGGCTCTCTGTCACAGAGAGACTGCCAGTGGCAAGGACTGTACTGCTCTATATGAATGTACAGTAGCTGGTTTGTCACGAACAGACAGAAAAATATGAGGCTGCTGTAAGTATTCTGGATTCTGATCCTTAAAACGATGGCATCAGAGGAAAAAAATCCTAAATCTACTTGTAATGGGAAAGCTCCAGTTCTACACTTTAACAACGGAATATTAACAAATTTAAAAAAAAAACAACAACCAACCAAAAAAACCAAGACAAACCCTAACCTGATAATTCAAACAAAATTTTCTGTTTTTCAGTGGGCATAGCTCACAAGTATTTAACTTCATTTCTAAATCATAATGGGTCAGCTTATTAGTTTCCAAGAAATATGATTAATCTTCTTGCATAATTACTAAACCTGCAAGGTACAGATGAAAACACAGAATCTAATTCCAAATCACTGAATTAAGAAGTAAAATTTGCCCTTAGTTTGCACTATGTCACTACTATCAGGATTGGGCCCTTTGAGTGCAAATCATCTTTTGGCAAAATAATGCAAGAACAAGTGAAACAAGCCAAAAAGCCCTATTTTTCTGAGCTACTACTGGGCTTCACATTTAATTAAGGTCATTTTAAACAAATGAGGCACAAATATGCAAGAATATAGACAACTGAACAGTAAGAGGGACTAAGCCACTTTCAACACTTCATCAGAAGATTACTTAATTTGGTAAATCAGACATGCTTGCAGATGTAAATGAACTTTGAGATTTGGCCTATGAGATACTTACAACCAGCTTTTCTATTAAGTTAACACTACTGGTAATGTTTGCCTAATTTTTGAGGAAGCCACCCATAAGTACCTTTAAATAATTTAAGCTTTTAAAGCCAAATTCCAAGACTTTCAGAAAATCTGAAATAATATCAAAACTAACCCCTCCCCACATAAACCAGAACCGTTAAATAGTGAGTAACATGAAAGGTGTCTTGGGACCAGAAAACCTGCAATCATTCAAAACCTGTAGCATTATCTTGTAGATAATGTAAAGCTTGTAGAGCTTATCTTCTACCATATTCTAAGGCATAGAAACAAGCAAGACCTAACCATGGGAACAGTTCACACAACATACGCATGTACCGTGGCTTCTAATCTTCAATCCCTCCCTAATTTTTGTCAATTCTGGTAAGAATGCATTTGAAGATATGAAGTCAGTAATTTAATTAATCTAGCTGCACTAGATTTAACACATTAACTAAACAAACATTCAATTTTCAGACAATGTTAGCACTGTAAAGTTTCTACAAAGTAAACTGAAAGAAATAGAAAGGAATTTGAAATTATTGACTATAAAAGCAAGCCACAAGAATTTTATAAAACTAAGAAATGGAACAAAGTTCAGTTCAGTAGCATTTCAAATGCAGATTCGCACAAATCCATACTTCTAACACAGATTACACTCGACTAAATTACCTTCCATTTGCCAGTAACTACTGCAAAAAATCTCCACATCATGAAAAACAAACTCAAAGCACAAAGTTTATAGAATCACCCAACCTTGTGACACAGACAGGCATATCTATTGCTATTTAAAATGACAAAATCGTGTGCAATGGTACTTTCAAGAATGATATGAAGTTTTCAAGTGCAAGGGAGCACAAGAATTTCATAAATGTCGAAATCACTCTGTTAGCTCAAAATCTCTTTCCAGAGAACTTCTGGCTCAACACAGCTGCCATTTTTTAATTTCTACATGTAAAGCAATACATCATGAAAACAGAATATGCAGATACTACAGTATGCTACAAGAAATGGTTCTTAGATGGTCCTTATTAAAAAAACACACTAAGAGAAGTTATCCTAAAAGCCCTCTGAACAGTAGCACCTGAGTTCCAGTGGCAAGAAGCTGGAATTTCCAACCTTAAACAAGGCAAAACACTGTATAAGGAAAATTAGTTTCTCCCCCATTCCAGGAATTTTAGTATCATAGTATTTTGCAGGTAATCTAGAGTTTCATGTGAAGCTCAAGATTTTTTTTTGCATGTTTGCAGGTAATCCAGAGCTTCATGTGAAGTATAGTATTTACTATACTACTTAATATACGGCCAGTGAAGGACATTGGATTACACAATCAAATTGGTCCTTTCTGAACAGAATATAAGCTAAACTATGTATCAGTAAGTTCTCTCCACAGAGCAAGGATCTAAGGTTCGATAAATATGAAAATATTTGAGTATGCCAGGATTTAAATAATAAGGCTGATCAGAATCATACCTTTTCTTGTAATATAAATGCAATTTGGAAAAAAAATTAACACAATTTAGTTTGAGTTTGATTGCTGTTTTGTTTTGATGAACTTTTGGGGGGTTTTGGGTAGCTTCTTTTTGGTTTGGGTTTTGTTTGGTTGGTTTTTTGTTTGGGTTGTTGTTTTTTTTTAATAAATTTGGAAAAGCACTAAACAGCTTTGAAAAGTACAAGTTTCATGTCCTTCCAAAACTATTTCCACTCAGCATTATGTCATTTGACATAGTTTTTACTCAGATGATTGCTCATTCTGGAAATTACTGTATTTGCAGAAAAAAAAATACAGAGATTTCCTTCCATTTTAGTTAATAGGTAAGGGCAGGGTAGAAAGCCCATCAGATTAAAGGTGAACAGAATCTCTCTCTGAGATGCCTTTACACTGCATACAGAGGAACTGATTTTTTTTTTTGCACAAGATGTCTCTGTCAAGTGGGATAAATTGCAAGGCATCACACCCTACAGAGCTCCATGACATTTTAGCTCTTCTTCTACAAAAGCAGACAGATAGTTCACTAACCTAAGTCAACTTCTGCTCCTCTTCATTATTTTTCAAAGTAATTTCTCTTGACTACACCATTCCAGAAAAAGCCCAACTATTACTAGAATTTGCAACCGTGTATGTTTCTTAAATGCCCAGCCTTCTGTCCATCCCTGGATTGCAATTAGTTGGAAAGAACATACTTTCGTTAAGAAGTTTCTGTTTAAAAGGTGTTTGAAAATTGGCATTTGGACTAGCACCATAAGTCCACAGAAGTATTTACCAAAAAAAATAGATAAAACACCACTTTTGCTTTAAAGATGACAGATATTTCCATTTGTTGCATCTCTCATAAGAAAGTAAACTGGAGCTTAGAAATACCAGCAACTTTGGAACACCATGAGATCATCATTTTACACTACTATAATTTAGTAATTTCTACTATTTATTATAATTTCATTACACTAATTTCTACAGTTCACTTAAAATGTAACTTTGTATAATACATTTTATCTTTAACATCAATCTGATCATAGTCCAGCTTCAGCACGAACTCTGCTTTAGTATCTGCTATAAAACAATACACTTTAAAGACATTTCTGTGTTTCAGTGTTAGGAATTTTAAAAACTTTAAGTACACTTTTTCTTTCACAGTGCACAGCTCTTTCGAGAGGTATTATAGACTTGAACATTGCTTCTAGACTGGTTTATGGCTACAATTTGTATTTTAGAGTCTCCCATAAATCAAAATTTCTTTCATACTGAGTAGAGAGACAAGAGTAGAAAGTTGGCAAAGACTATACTTCATGGTCTTCTTATTAAATACTTATAAAAAGACTCTTACATTAGCTCAGTAACACATAATGAATTAATCATGACTATTAGTGAAAATGTGGATGTGTACAGTTTGAAAATTTCTATAGGTATAACGTATCTTGGAAAATGATCATCTAACCCCATGTCTTCCAAAAGAAACATGTTCTCTCTTCCCATCACCATCTGCTGTTCCAGCAAAGTCACAAACTAGTTCCACATCTCTGCTACACAAACGGAGAGGTCCATTAAGAAGCCCCTGGAAGTTCTCCAGTCTTCAGTACAATATTCACACCAGTGTCAGCTCTCTCAACCATGTTACCCCACTGTGAGATAAAGACATAGCAGAGTTCCTTGTTTCAGCAAACATACTCATGTTTTGTCTTGCCTTCCTACATTAGGGGCCCCAGCTCTACTGATGACATTAACCACTTCTGTCAAACTGGAGAAGCAAAACAGTGAAAAATGGACAGCGAAACCTCTTTTGGTATCAGGATGAAAGTTACTAAGGCACCTGACTTGAACATTTATCTTGGTAGTTTTGGCTATCCGTATTCCATCTCTCAAATTCTACAAATTTTAATGTCTTAAATACCTGCTAAATAACCTACACTTAGCCTCTATATGCTTTGGGTTTCTTAATCAACATAAATGGGAAAAATAAATGGAAGTCTTACAGAAGAGAATGCCTGCCGCAGAGCATCTGGAAATGTCACAAAGAAACCTCCACAAACCTAGTGGAATGTGTGAAGCAGCCATATTTACAAGTCATTAATTTCCTTCCACAAGGATCAATGCTGAGAAAATACCTAGATATGAAAACTTTTATTTACCTGATCTGATAACTGAGATTTAATTAATTGTATAAAAAAATAGGTCCCTTAACCTCTTCATACAACACATGTGACTGTTTGATCTCTTAGCACCCCCTTTTGGTCAACTGTTGGAGATATGTTAAGGAAAACCAGGTATCACAGCACAGGTAATCATATCACAACATAGAGATGAAACAAAGTCTTGAAGAAAATCTCGTATGTCTCAGCAAAAATTAAGGCACTCATTAAAAAATACGTCTAAATGGTGTTTCAATTATTCTCACACTGAATGACCAGGGCATCGGTGGGTGTGCATATACATGTATGCAGAAGCAGAGGCCATGATGAGCCATTTCAATACGTTGAGCAGACCATCATT